TCCCCTCAACATGGATAACAGCGCTGTGCGTGCACGAATGTGTGAGGACGTGTGTGTACGGGTGTGTGTTTGCAAATGCATGCCTCGTGTGTGTATGTACGCATTTGGGGAGGAGACAGTCCATTGTCATGTAATGGTTTCTTGTGGGCTACTGTCAGACACATGGGCATGCAGACACGCGTGCACGCGGACACACGCACACGTGCACACACAGGGTGGCCTGAGTCATCCTCAGGGTTTCTCAGCTTCTGTATTCAGATCCTGGATTTGCTGGGCTCCCTCCCCAGTCCTTGCGTCTCGCTGGGCAGGAGCCTCTGTTAGTGACCATCTTGTTTCCAGGAGTCTTTGTGGTGACTCTTCTGGAAATGTGGATGCCTGAACGCCCATTTCACCTGGGCCTGCAGATCTGTTGGCGTAAAATGGGTCAGAGGGCTCTGGTTTTCAGCCTCTTCATCTGTGGTTTTGTCTTCTTTGCCCCAGCGCTGTGGTGGCTTCTGTGGTTTCTCAGGCCAGGTGCACTTCACTGAGCCCTGGGGGACATGGGGGCCGCCTTCCTCCCCGTGGCTGGCCCACGGCTGGCCCCACCCTCCCTTTCCCCTCCTGCCTCAGGGAGGAGCCAGAAAAGGCTCTACTCTTGCAGCTCCGCTTGGCTGTGGGACGACGTCTGGCCACGGGGATGTAGCTGACAGTGGCAAGGACACCTTTGGAATCTGCCCTTCAAGGTTCCGAGCCAGCCCTTCTCCCTTCTCTTCTTCCTGTTGTTGGAATACGACCCGATTCCAGGCCAGCCCTTCTCCCTTCTCTTCTTCCTGTTGTTGGAATACGACCCGATTCCAGGCCAGCTCTTCCCCTCCCTTCTCTTCTTCCTGTTGTTGGAATACGACCCGATTCCAGGCCAGCTCTTCCCCTCCCTTCTCTTCTTCCTGTTGTTGGAATACGACCCGATTCCAGGCCAGCTCTTCCCCTCCCTTCTCTTCTTCCTGTTGTTGGAAGGTGACCCAGCAGCGGAGACCAGGGCAGTGTCCTGTGTGGAGGATGCAGAGCCAGCCGAGGGAAAGGGCCTCCCGGTGCCTCTGACAGGGTCACTTCCCATGCTGTGAGAGTCACTCTTATCCTGTTGTTGTTACTTGAAGCCACATCGAGCCCTACATGATGCATTTACTGACTTTATGGGAGGTGGTCATGTGTTCAGCTAAAACCTCTGTTTTCTGGACAAGGAGAGTTGCAGTCTTTGTCATCAGGTACAAGCAGACGTCTCCAAGCGGGACTCCTGTTAACGCTGTTGCTCTTCACCCAGTATGACCCCCGCCCCTTCCCCCCAGTGAGGTGTAACTCCTGGAGCAGCAGCAGCCATCTTCTGATGAAGACCAGCTACATGCCAAGGACGGCCAAACAGCCTGGGATTCTCTCAGTGTCCATTCCTGCCCACAGGACTTTACACTTGAGCCCAGGGTGGCACAGAGGTTGCAGTGAGCCGAGATCATGCCAGTGTACTCTAGCCTGGGTGACAGAGCAAGACCTTGTCTCAAAAAACAAAACACAAAACAAAGCACTGTATTTATGGCTATAAATTGCCCTCTAGGTGCCCCTTTAGCTGCAACACAGAGACTCTGACATGGTGCTGCATCCATCTTTATGTGGTTACAAGTATCTTCACGTTTCCTTTTTTCTCTTTAACCCATGAATTATTGTGGAGTCATGGGTGTGTCTTTTAGCTTCTAGAGGCATTGTTTAGCTTGTTATCGTTGGTTGCTTTTCCAGTTTCATCAGTCAGTGAGTTCTCAACAGCATGGTCCTTGGGAATGTAAGGTTTCTCTGTGGCCGAGTTCATGGTTAGTGTGTGGATATTCCATACATGTGAGAGGACAGTGTTTCTCCACTGGGCATGGAGTTCTGTGCTCACCATCAGATCATGATGGTGGGCTGTATTAGGAAATCATCTCTGGGCTCTGGCTCAAGTTCAAATGTTCCATGCCCTTCCCCAAGAAATGAACTGAATCTTCAGACACTGGCTTCCCCCACCGTCTGCCCTGGTGTGTGTGCATGTGTGGGTCCACGTGTCCCTGCTCTCCCGTTGCCATTGCCCTGGTCCTTGGTAGATGAAGGGCCTGGCAGCCATACATCACCCCCCAGGTGCAGATGGCATCAGGGCAGCCTCCTCTACAATTGGGGTTGGGTTTCCTCAGCTCCCGTTTCTGACACTGCCTGGGCCAGAGCCATCCTCTGCAGGTGGACATGCCTCACCTGGTGGTCCTGTGGTCACAGCACCCCCTGCCTCCTGCTACACATTCCTCCCAGGCCTGCACCCACCTGCCTTCCTGGGGGCTGTGCCCATCCCTCCCTCCGAGCACATCACTGAGCCATTCTTCCCAGCTCCCCACCTTGCAGGTGGCTCTCGGGGAGACCGTGAAGGCCTGGAGCTTCCAGGGTTGCTCTTGGGGCCTCAGGCAGTCACTTGGCACTGCCTGCAGACCTGGGCAGGGCAAGTCAGATATGCATGGCTGCAGGGCCCCTTACAGTCCACACAACCACACCACCCTGTGGCGCCAGCATGAGCCCCGAGATTCCAAGACCTCCCCACAACCCCCATGACCTCAGGGGCCTGAGCTTAGCATCAGATCAGCCTCGCATCACACCACCTTCGTGGCCTCAGCTGAACATCCTGGACTGCAAGGGCATGGGGGTGACACGGGGGCAGCGCCTAAGGCCATGAGTTCCAGGCCAAGACCGAACCCCCACACTGCATAGGGCTGAAGCTGTGCTACCTCTGGGGGTGGAGAGGGAACTGAGGCCCACTATAGAGGGGCCTCTGGAGGGGAGAGCTGTGGCCGTGAAGGGAGCCGGGGAGACACTGCCAGGAACCCAGAGCTCTGGCCAGGAGCGTGAGCCTCAGCTCAGTCCCCAGGGGCTCCTAAAAACCCGGAGGAATGCGGTGGAGTCGGGGCTGATGGGAGACGCGCAGGTCGGCTGGGTCTCGGGGAGGCTGCCTTCCTGTAAACAGAGGAGCCAGGCCGGTGCGTTGCATTCGGGGGCTGCTGTCAGCTCCCTTGCCCATCCTCACCTTTGATTCGTACTCAGCTTCACTGCACAGGCTGGGGTGGGTGGGGCCTCAGGAACCAGTCCCTAAGCTGCCTGGGCAGCAGCTGGCTGCTGCCTTTGCTGTGCCATTTTAGTTGGCCTCCAGCATGAACTCAGTTTCCTGAAGGCACCCGGACTCCCATTTTGAGGCTGAGCCTTATCACTGGTGTCAGCAGGGTGGTGAGGGTAGGGCAGCTGAGAGGTTGGTGGGGATTGGAGTGACCCTGGTTCCTCCCCGCCAGGCTGCCTCCTCCCGGCTGCCAGTGTGGTCTCCATGAGCCACCCAGTGCTCAGTCCCTTCAAATTGGAGAGCCCAGGAGAGGGGCTCCTTTGGAAGGCTCTGGATGCCCTGTGGGCTCTGGGCTTGATTCTAGCCCCACTCCTGCCTCATGACAAAGCCTGCTCACTCCACTGCTCAAAGAGCCTTCTCAGTTCAGCAGGAGACATTTAATTCCCAGCCCTAGAGAAACCAAGTGAGTGCAACCAAGCTGTGTCACTGGTCACACGATCTGAAGCAACTCAGCTCCCCAGCAGAAGTCAAGTGACCTAGGTGTCCTCCCTGCAGGACGGAGGGGCTGGCTTGGGCTGCTGCTCTCAACAACTGTGTCTGATACCTGCACTGAAGGCTATGACTCTTCCCCAGATGCTGCCTTACCTGCACCTACTTTGGCCACATGCTCTCCTTGTCCCTCAGGGCAAAATCTGTATTGATGCCACCTGACTTCTTTGACTTCTGACTTGTCCACAAACCTTGGGAATTCTCAGTGGTCTGTTTCTGTCCTCATGCTGCAGTGGGAGCTGGCATTTGGGGGTACTTCCTGGCCTCAGTCAGGGCTGCAGCTCCTGTGGGTGCAGGCACTCTCTCCCATCCTGCTGACCCTGCCTATCACTCTCCATTTGGTCTCCAGGTCTGGTCAGTTCCTGGAACGGTTGAATCACAGACAAAGTGTTTGCCCTGAAGCTGTTTTGCACTCACCTCTTTGAGGTATGCTTTGGTGCATACAGTGCTGCACTAGGGATCTTGGTGGGTTTTCCTTCTGTCAATATCAAGGGTCTCTCTCTGTTCCTTTTTAATACTTTTCATTCTCTCCTCAATGATATGGGTTCCTTCTTCATTTCTGGCACCTATCTTGCTTAGCTGGCTAAGTGGTAATAGTGGACTAGTTACTGAATATTTGTTTGGAAAGGAAGTAGAAGTTCCCACATCACCTCCACAGGCCACAAGGCCCAGAAGCCCAGGTATGTGTTCTGAGCTTGCCCCCATGCTGTTTGGGACAGAGTGGAGATAAGGCAGGAAGTCCAGCTCATAGTGTCTGTGATGGTTGGGAGAGACCTGGGCAGAAGTGCTGAGGAGCACGCAGGTCAGAAGCCTGCTGAGGGATGACCTTGCTCTGAGACCCTAAGGACCAGGGCTGATGGTGCCAAGTCTCAAAGCAATGGCCCTGCACAAGGAACTCAGCACAGGGCTGGGTATGTGAGGGGTGGCCACTCACACACAGGATCTGGACTCCTTCTTGGGCTGGAGACAGAGGGGACGATGAGGCAGGCAGGACCCTGCCTGTTCCCAGATGCAAAGGTGCTGGGGTCAGGGTGGGAGTGCTGTTCTGAGGCAGGAACCACCGTGCAGGTGACCAGTGGGACAGCAGTGGAGCCGTCTGTTCCCTGTGTGAGGCGCAGAGTGAGGAGGGTCTGCAGGGCCCCGGCCAGGCTTTGATGAGGCCCAGAGAAAGGGGCGGGGCATGCTGGTGAGCCTGTGTGACAGCTAGTGAGACGGCCATGGGGCACCACTGCCCTCCTGGACCCGATTTACCATCAGCCCAGCCCCTCCCCTTCTCCACTGCAGCTGGAGCTGCAGGACCTCAAGGTGGGGTGCACGGAGCCAGGGTGGGGGACACCCTCCAGGGAAATGACTCCCGCCTCGCTTGGGTGGGTGAGCACTCGGTGGTTTATCTGAACTTGGAAATGCTACAGAGCCAAGGGCGTGGGGTGGGCCTTGGCCAAGGTTGCTCCTTCCCTCTCCTTCCACCTGCAGGTGCTTCCTGAGCTTTTCTCCTGGCTTTTCCAGATGTGGTCGCTCTTGGTGTCCAGACAAACCATGGAGGAAGGCGCAGGGTTCCTCGGGACAGTGCAGAAAATGTCCTGGCAGGAGAGAAGGGCGGACAGATCTGAAAGACTGAAGACAGTTGGACACAGGCTCAGGGCCAGTGCCTGGGTTTCCACACGCTGCATCCAGCAGGGCCGTGGGTGGGCAGGATTGTGGGCAGGGCTGTGGGTAGGGTCATTCTCTGATGGGTCTGTGGAGGAGAAGCAAGGTTGCTTGTCCTTAGCCCTGGGCTCTGTCCTGACTCTCAGGCATCTCGGGCAGCTGCCCTCTTACCCCAGCTTGGCCAGGAGCCCCTGAGTCTCCTGCCTGTGCTCCCTGGCCCTCCTAGCCCCTGCCGAGCCCCTCGCTCAAAGGCACCGGCCCCTCACGGGCCCAGGTCACACACCCGTGCCACACTCTGGCCCCTGAAGCTACTTGAGGCCGGAGTTGTGCTGTACCCACCTGCACCCTGTCCCCACACCTGCTCCTGGGACCAGCCCCTCAGCTAAGTTTGCACACAGGGGCCACCTGCCCAGCGCTTCCTGAGGAAGGCAGAGGTCACCTGGGGCTACCACAGCCCCCACCCTGCCTCTCTCATCGACATACCCGGGGCCTCACAGGCCCCTCCTGGGACTCCTGTGAGCTTCCCCACAACTGGACCAGGTGCCCACTGAGCAAACACCTGAGCTCCACTCTCTCCACTGCACTATACCCTGGTCAGGGCGTCCTCCATCCCAGCATGCAACTCTGCAGCCCACGAGGTCGAGCAGGCTCCCGGCATGCCAATCCGTCTCCAGGACCCCACGCCCTGGGACCCCACGCCCTATGGCCCCACGGCCTGTGATCCCACATTCCTGTTGCCCCTACGGGGTCCACAGTTGACCCTACTTTCCCCAGGGCCACCTCACCTGCCTGTGCTGGGCCTTGTGCTCGCAGCACCCCACCCTGGATAGCACAAGGCCCCACCCATCAGCCCCTCAGGAGCTCCTCCTTCCTGGATGCCCTCAGCCCTGGCAGGTGCAGGCAGCAGGGGCTCACCTGTCGCTCCCAGAGGCCCTGGGTGCTAGCCCCCCTGCTGCCCAGGGCTGCCCGTCTGACCAACAGCTCCAGGCTCCCCTGCGAGGAAAGGGAGAGTATATGAGGATGGAGCAATGCAGTGGCTTGGGGCCCTGTTCTGACGGGGACAGAGGGTGTCAGGGCCCCTCCCTGGGTGCAGGCAGCAGGTCTGGTCCTCAGATGGAGGCTGAGATCTGAGGGAGAGCAGCGTGCCAGGTCCCTGTGCCCCACACAGGTGCCCCTTGGGCTCCATGACAGGTTTGGGGGGGCATGGCCAGGTGGGGAGGTGTCAGGTGGGGGCCCTGTGACAGTGCCTGTCACCCTTGTCTAGCTGCTGCTGCCTCGGCCAGTGCAGAACTCAGTCCTTGTCTGGCTGGGTCATCTCCCTGTCTGTCCTCCCCATGGACACCCCTCTCCAGCTCCAGCTCCCAAATCAGCCTTTCCTCCATCTCAGCATCCAAGTCATGACCCACCGCTGCCGCCTCAGAGGAGGAGGAGCACCAAGGTCACGGGAGCCTGCGGCTCCGTGCTGGGTGGGGAGAGGCAGGGGAAGCAGTAGCCAGGAGGATGAGAGGGTGGGAGAGGGGGGACGGGGAGGACTCGAGGGCAGGAGGGAGAGAGGGAGGATGGGAGGTAGGCTGGGCCCTCCTGGGTGGCCCTAAGCAGGCAGCTCGTGTTTCCTGAAGATTGGGGAAGGGGTCACCTTGAGGGCCTCGGAGGGCCAGGCCAAGGCTGAGCTCTGCGTCATGACTGGCTTTGTCTGGACTTAGGGAAGCCCCGTGTCCTCGCCACAGCACCCCAGAGGCTGGACAGTGGTGTCTCCAGCAGGGGCTGCTGTGCTGACACAGATCGATGCTCCATCCCCAGGACCAGGGGACAACCGGCTCCCCGCTGGCCACAACTCCCTCCCCAAGAGCCAGGAGCCCAGTACCTCTGCCCTCTAGGTGGCGGCTACCATGCCTCCATTCTCCAGGAAGCAGGGCCTTGCTGCGGGTGCCAGGGGACCCCAGGGGCTCAGTGCCCGGCTCCAGCTTCTGCTCCAAGATGGGCATTGGGGGCCTGGTGTTCTCGTGGAAGGAGTCAAACTTTGACACGTGTGCTGTGGGAAGGAAGGGTGGCAGCGGGATGCAGTGGGAGCCAGGGGATGCGAGGCCTGGGCAGGCCATGCCAGGATACCCAGGTGTGCTAACGGTGGATAAAGGCGGCCTCCCTCAGTCTGGCCACTGTGAGGACAGACAGGTGTGCTGGGCACAGGTGCAGGGCTACTGGCTTCACTCACTCTGGATGGCGGACTCACAGGCCTGGCTCACAAGCTGGTAGAGGGTGGCGAGGGACTGCGGCTCGCCCTGGAAGGGAAGGTGGTGCAGCTTTGGGACCCGTGTGGCTGGTGCCTTCCCAGGTGATCCCGAGCTGAGCCAAAGACTCTCAGTCTCACTCACCTTCTCTCCTCGTTCCCCTTTGGGCCCCGGCAGCCCCTGATGAGGAGGAGAAGAGAAAGAAGTCAGCAGGGATGGCCTGAGACCACACATGAGAAGTGCGAGATGGCCCTGGGGTGGATCATGGCTTGGGCAGCCTGACAGCCACAGTGGCAGTGTGACCCCACAGGGCAGGCAGAGCCAAAGCCCAATCCCAAATTCCCAGATCCTAGGAGCCTGTGGTCCTTGCCTGCACCCCAGAGCAGGCATGTGAGGAGTTTGGTTCTGCAGCAGAGTCCTGAGTGGGGCTGGAACTTGTGCCACAAAGGACTTGCCTCTGGCTGTAGATTTTTGTGCTAGGGGAGATGGCGGGTGTGGGACACTGCCCAGAGAACAGACCCTTCCCGGGCCCAGGCCAGGCCTGTGCCAGTGCTTCCTTGCCAACTTCTGTCCTCTTCCACCTCTCCAGCTCCTTGGGGAACCTGGAGCCCACCTAAGTGGGGGCCCATGGAGCTGCTGAAAGTCAAGGCATCCCCCAGGGGATACTACACCCCCATCTCCCACGTCTGTCCCCCTACGGGGGATGGTGGTGCCTCCACGGAGCCTGCCGCCCCACCACCTCCCCTTCACCAGGTCTGTCCTGGGTGGGGTTGGGGGAGGTGCAGAACCAGCCCCTGGCTCTACTCTCTTGCACTAGCACCAACAACAAGCTCCCAGCTCAGAACAGGCCTCCAATAACAAATGGGAAGTCCCTGAGCGGTCAACAGGAAGTCCCTGAGTGATCAACAGGAAGTCTTTGAGTGGTCAACAGGAAGTCCCTGGGCTGTCAATAGGAAGTCCCTGGGTGGTCAACAGGAAGTCTCTGAGTGGTCAACAGGAAGTCCTGGGCCACCAATAGGAAGTCCCTGAGTGGTAAATAGGAAGTCCCTGGCAGTCAACAGGAAGTCCTTGGGAGGTCAACAGGAAGTCCCTGGGTGGTCAACAGGAAGTCCATGGGCTGTCAACAGGAGCCCTGGTGGTTAGCAGGAAGTCCCTGAGAATATGGGGCTTGCACCCTTCCCTCCCCACCTTTGACTGGCTGGTGGGTGTTGGAAGTGAACTTACTGTGGGCCCACAGCCCCTGGGGGTCCTCGCTCTCCACCAGTGCCCCTGGCCCCTGCCATGCCCTGGAACCCCTGCAGAGACACAGAAGTCAGGGTGTGGTTTAGGCCCCCAGCATATCTGTTCCCACTTCAGCCCTGGTTCCGGACGTCCCAGGGCCCCCCTGACCTGACAAGGGCAGTGGACACCCAGCTGGCCCAGCCTCCCTCAGGCCATTCCTCTGGCAGGCGGTGCCTCCCTGCCTCCAGGCCCTGGCCCCCCATGCCCTGTGCTCCTCCTCCAGTGCTGTCAGCACCCACGCTGCTCTAAATGTCCCTAGCTGTTCCAGTTGCCCCAGTGTGGCTGCAAGTTAGGCTTCCCCGGAAGTGGTGCTTATGGGGAGGCAACTTGGCCTGCAGCACTCAGCCCGAGGCCAACGCCAGGAGACCCCCATCAAGGTCTCCCAGGAACTGAGTCCTCAGCACAGAGCCCTCACTTGGGGGCATGTAGTGCTCTTGGGCAGACGCTCACCCACCCACAGGGCCCTGCAGAAAGTTCCAGCAGAAGTGAGGCCCTCCCAGGCCACTTCCTGGGGTGACCTAGGGGTGACAGCTGGTGTTCAGACTAGCCTCTGCCTGGACCCTGGAACATAGGAGCCCTGGGTGGGGGTGGGGGTCATGGGAGGTTGGTGCCTACCCTGGGGCCAGGGGGTCCGGGCAGGCCAGCAGTTCCCTCCAGGCCTCTCATTCCCTGATGGCATAGGAAGGCACAAGCTGGGTGGGGTTTGTACCTGTACCCAGCCCTCCCATGGTGACAGCCCCCAGCAGCACCCAATACACCCTGTAACCCAAGCAGCAAAGGTGAGGCAGCTGAGGCTGCCAGGCTCCTACTTAGCCACCCCCCACCTGACCCCACCTCAGTGACAGCTCCTGCCTGGGGTGGGCTGGAGCTCTCCTGCCTTCTGGCCAGGCCACAGGCTGAAGGGGGTGGTGCAGTGGGTGAGGCAGGAGCCCAGGAGGAAGCACCTCCCTCTCCCTACCCCACAGCCTCCATCTCCAAGTCCCCCCACCACCACAGGCCAGTCTCTACCACCCTGACAGAACCCTCCAAGCCCAGAGTCAGCACCTTTGGTCCCTGGAGGCCAACTCTCCCGGGGATGCCCTGGTGGCCGGGGTGGCCCTGGGATAGAACAGAGGAGCCAGCCAGGCAGGGGCCAAGGTCACATCCAGAAGAGGTGGCCCTGCCTGTAAGGCCTCACCCCCCGATCCCTGTGTCCCCCATGCACTCCCCATCTCCATCCCTGTACTTCCCCCCACCCCTGCCGCCACCAACCCCTGTGGCCCCTGGCTCCAGCCACACTACCTGCAAGCCTGGGAGCCCATGGTCTCCTTTCTCTCCTTTGACCCCTGGTGGACCCTGGAGGGGGATGATGGGCTGGACAGTGAAGCGGAGGGGGCACAGGGCAGGAGGGCGGGGAATGGGTGACACTTACCACAGGCCCCGGGACTGCGCGGCCTTGGGTCCCCGGTGACCCCTGCTGGCCTCCAGGACCTTCTGGTCCCATCTGTCCGGGTGGCCCGGGCTCTCCCTGGAGACACAGGCAGTGGGGAGGGCCTGAAAAGGTCACGCTGGCTGCCCCTCCTGTGGCCCCTCTGGGTCACAGCCAGCCCTCCCGGCCCTCTGGGCATTCAGGCCCAGGCCCACATGGAGACATCTCCATTAAAGAGGCAGGGGCAGCCCCAGCACCCTCACTGCCCACCCTGGGAGGGTCTGGGAGCACCCACAGTCGGGGTCTGCAGCGCCAGAGAATGGCCAAGCCAAGCCTGTGAAGCCAGTTCCAACCAACTCCACCCCCAGCCCTCCCCTGCCCAACTCTGGGTTCCAACGGGGGTATGGGGGGCATTGCAGAAATCACTGAGGAAAAGCCAGAGACCCCCACGGGCCAACTGTAAGGAAGAGATAGAAGACTTTCTTAAGCCCTGGACCCCAAAACACTAGACTCAGGTTTTACGGGAAATCCAGCCCTGTGGGGCGCACACTGCTGCTATTTAAACTCAAATTATCTTTTGAACAAAGCAAATCGAGGTTCCAAACACTATAAAGAAAACTGCGACAGTCTTATTTATAAGCATCAATGCAAAATTCAAAACAAAACGTCAGAAGCTAAACTCTGCAGCACGCGACATGGATAACGAGAATTCAGCGACCGTGTCAGATTTTCGACAGATGCACGAATCATCCAGTATTGAGGGATATCCTACAATTAATAGCTCAAAAGGCACAGTCCTTTCATTATGTCCATAACAGCACTAGAGCTTGTTTAATGCGCATTCTTGATGTTTTAAATCTAATAAAATAAGAGTGGATGGACTTCACTACCACATGACAAAATGCACCTGTCTCTGCTTCCAGGACAGCATTTTAATGGTCAAATGCTAGAAGCACTTTTGTTAAGCCAGGAAGAAAATGAGAATATCTGCTACCACCACGGCTTTCTGACAAAATTCTGGAGTATTCACCAACACCATTAGATAAGAAAAAGAAATCGGACTGATCAAGACTGAAAGCCGAAGGTGAAGTGTTTCTTTGCAGGTGATGTCACTGTAAACCTGGAACACCCAAGAAAATCATAAAGAAGATAACTGAGGCCGGGCGCGGTGGCTCACGCCTGGAATCCCAGCACTGGGAGGCCGAGGCGGGCGGATCACGAGGTCAGGAGATCAAGACCATCCTGGCTAACACGGTGAAACCCCATCTCTACTAAAAAAAAAAGTACAAAACATTAGCCGGGCGAGGTGACGGGCGCCTGTAGTCCCAGCTACTCTGGAGGCTGAGGCAGGAGAATGGTGTGAACCCAGGAGGCGGAGCTTGCAGTGAGCCGAGATTGTGTCACAGCACTCCAGCCTGGGCGACAGAGCGAGACTCTGTCTCAAAAAAAAAAAAAAAAAAAAAAAAAAAAAAAAAAAAAAAAAAGAAAATAATTGAGAAAGAAACCTGTGTGAGGCCGGGCGTGGTGGCTCAAGCCTGTAATCCCAGCACTTTGGGAGGCCGAGACGGGTGGATCACGACGTCAGGAGATCGAGACCATCCTGGCTAACACGGTGAAACCCCGTCTCTACTAAAAATACAAAAACTTAGCCAGGCGAGGGGGCAGGCGCCTGTAGTCCCAGCTACTCGGGAGGCTGAGGCAGGAGAATGGCGTGAACCCGGGAGGCGGAGCTTGCAGTGAGCCGAGATCCGGCCACTGCACTCCAGCCTGGGTGACAGAGCAAGACTCCGTCTCAAAAAAAAAAAAAAAAAAAAAAAAAAAAAAAACCTGTGTGAAAATAATGAGGTAGAAGCTGTAATGAGAGAAAAGACCTAACTTATAATAGCAACAAAAAAGAGGAACTACGTAGGGATGAAGGAGAACCGAGCGGGTCTGTAGGAAGAGACTGTCCCCGCGCTGTACTGAGGGCCACAAAAGTCCCTGTGAACCAACGGCAGGATGGCTGTGTTTTTGGATGAGAAGATTCAATACCATAAAAACGTCATCTGTTCCCCAGTATGTCTATAAAGCGAATGCGGTCCCAATAAAAACACCAACTGAATTGTTGAGGTTAAATGGATAAGTCAATTCTACAGTTCACTGAACAATGAAATAAGCAAAGAGAGCCAGGAAAAAATTCTGGGGAATACAAAAGAGGACCAGCCCGCCTGGCATTAAAATTTTAAAGAAATCTGTAGTAATTTAAGAAGCACCGCCCTCGCATGTGAACAGCAGACAAATCAACGGGACGGATTTGGAGCGCCTGAAAACCCCCAAAATACACAGGGGCCTCGGGACATCACGAGAGCAACAGCGTTTAACTTCCACGAGGGGCGGGCTGTGTAAGGAAAGACTCAGGCGACCACCGGTGGTCTGTGAAGAGGTGAAGCTGGAGTCCTCCCCGTCCTCCGTCCTCCCCAGCGTTGTAACAAAATCAGCTCTAGAGGAATCCACCTGGAGTACTGAAAAGGGCCTGCAAGCACCAGGAGGAACCAGGAGGAGGCGCTCTCTACTCTCGGAGTAAGGAAGACCCTTTAACACAGGATACAGAAGCCACAGAACAGAGCACTAACACGGACTACGTCAAAGTTATTTTAAACTCTGTATGGAAACGCACATTGCCAACAAGGTCAAAAGACAAGAAAATGCCAAACGCAGTCAAAACTCACATCACAGACACAGGGCTGGTTCCAGCAAGTAAAAAGCGTGCCCACCAATTATTAAGAAAAGTAACAGTGGAGAAGGCAGAGGACATCTCCAGCAAGAAAACATGGGCCACTTTCAAAGGGCGTTCACGCTGCTTGGAAGAGAAATGCATTTTCATCTATCAGATGGCTCCCGAAGCAGCCAGTTACACAAGATGGGGGTGGGAAGCCAGTGCTGGCTTGTCGCGGGGGAGCACCTTGCACGGCTCTGCAGGGCCAGTGTGGGGACATCCACCCCAAAGCACAGGGGCCCGCGTGTGCCCTTCCACCCAGCAACTCTCCTAGGGAATCTGAGCCTGGGATGCGCGCTCAGGCTCCAGCACAACCACCAACAAAGGCAGTGCAGGTGCAACAGGACAGCCCCGCCGGAGCCAGGCTCACGTCTGTGCTCACGGGGATGTGGAACTCTCCGGAAGGCTGCCGGGAGAGAGGCGGGTGTCGGGGTCGGAAGGAGGACGGCCTCACTGCACGCCGACCACACTTTAGGCATCTGCGTCATGCTTGTGCAGTACCGTGGTTTAGGTAAATGCTTAGAATCGAGCCCGGAGGGCGGCCCTCTCACGTCTGGGGTGGGTGCTGCTGTCATTGCTGGGTGCACTGCCTTCAACATCCGTCTCTGCAGAACCAGAACCCCCACCCCCGAAACACCTCCCCGCACACTGCGCATATGCTGCTACATCTGAAAATACTTTGTGGGCCTAAGCTCCTGGGCCCAGCCCAGCACAGAGAAGGCATCTGGCTCGTGCCTGCCCCGTAGAAATCAAGGGTGGCCTTCAGGGCTGACAGGACAGGTGGCCTCACCTCCCCAAGCCTCAGATTTCCCCCGTCGGGCCATGGGGTTCATCCTCCCTCTCTGGGTGAAAAGGGGACTTCCACCGTAACCAGGCCCAGGCCAGGCGCCCAGCAGGCACACGGGAGAGGCCAGTCCAAACCCCCTGGACCCCTGGGGTGCTGGGGTCCCTGCCTGTCTGCAGCTTGGGGAGGCCCCGCCCTGCCTAGGGAGGCTCCATGCAGCTCCCTGCACTCTCAAGAGCACCCTGGGAGGGGTGTCCTCTTCTGGCAGGCCGGATCCAGGCCCCCCACCTCCCAGGACTCACCAAAAACTTACCCTGGGCCCGGGGAAGCCCTGCTCTCCCGGAGTGCCGTTCCTCCCAGGGAGGCCCTGCAGAGGCACAAACAGGGCTAAGCCCCCAGAACCACCCCAACCGAGGCACAGGGGCACAGACCAGCCGCTCAGCCCCATGCCGGGTCCACCCTGAGCACCTAACCCCACCCAGCCCTGGTCTGTCCACTGCTGTCAGGAGGAAGGAAAGGGGCTTCCAGGGCAAGGACACACGAGCCCGTCCTTCCCTCTCACAGTCAGGCATTCCAGGTTCAGACCCCAGCCCCCTGAGCAGACAGGGCTGTGGACACTGCGCTCAGAGTGAGTGTGCTTGACCGGTCCCAGGGAGCCAGCTCTGGAAGCCCCAGCCATCACCTGCGGGGTGCTGGAACCTTGGGGTGAGCAGAGGCAGCTGCGGCCATGGCAGGTCCAGTGACCTCTCAGGTCCCCATAGCAGGGGTCCAGGCCTGGGCAGAGGGACTCTACAGCTCCTGCTGCAGGTGAGCTGGGCTGCCAGCACCCAGGACAGCGGCCGTCCGAGTGGCTGTGACTCACAGCCGGCCCGCGTCACACCCTGCAGCCACAGCACAGTTCTGGATCCCAGCTGCACCTGGACCTGTCCCAAGCCTGACACTGGATTCTGCACCAGGGGAGGGCTCGTGGGGGCGGGGGCAGCCTGGGGGAAGGAAGGAGCTGCGCCTGGACTCCCTGCCCAACCCTGACATTGAGAAACACTGGATTGCACACCAGAGGAGGGCTTGCCCGGGAGGCCCAGCCTGGGGGAAGGAAGGCGCTGGGCCAGGCCTCAGGGTGGAGGCTCATGAAGTACATCCCAGCTCTGCGGCAGGACGGGGGGGATGGGCTGGGGCGGGAGGGCCTGGGTTCCACATCCACCAGTGGCAGCAATACGTTGGCCAGGGTTCCCCGGTCACCCCAGGGAGACACCACTGGACTCACTGGGGGTCCCTGGGGCCCTGGGGGCCCAGGGGTCTCTGAGGAACAGGAGCAGGCAGACACGAAGGCCGGGCAGGTCTCTCCATCCCTCTGGAAGAAAAGACACCTGCTCATCAGAGAGACCCTCTCCCCGGCTCTCGCCTGACCCGAGAGCTGAGCTCAGCCAAGCACACCTGGGCTCCAGGGAGACTTCCAGGCCTACACCTGGGAGGCAGGGGTGAAGGTCAGGGGCACAAGTGCACAGTGGGCAGGTCCCGGGCTCAGGCCACTAAGCCCCTGCGTGTGCAGCCAGCCCTGGGTACCCACCCTGCCAGGCTGTCCGCATGAGCCCAGGACAGAGTGGTGCCTTCTCCCTCCCTCTCCCCCCTATCTGGGCCCCCAGCACAGCCAAGCCCAGCACAAGGTACACAGAGGAGTCACCGAGGCTGGGAGGGGCTCTCTGGCCTGGCTGTGGGACCCTTCCTGACTCATCTGCATGTGGCTGGGCCCACAGAGGTGGGCGTGGCCCTGAGTGGGGCCAGGGGTTCCCAGCCCAGGGGTTCCCAGGGCCTCCAGGACTCTCCGTCCAGCCCCCCTGGGCTCACCCTCTGGCCCTGAGGCCACCTCCTCTGAAAGCCTTCCCTGATCTCTCCCAGCACAGTGGCAATCTGGACAGGCCAAGACCCCAGGTACTCTGACCCTCAGTGGGCACCAGCCCTAACTTGCTTCGTGGAACAGGGGCAAGAGATGGGGCACACCGAGGCAGGGAGCTCACAGCACCGGTCCTCGTCGGCCCAGGTGTCACTGCACACGATCTGCAGTGTCTGGAGCTGAAACTGCAACGCAGGGGAGCCGGCTCAGTCCCAGGGGCTCAGAGAGGCGGCCAGCCCCAACCAGCGCGGCCCAGCAAGACAACTCACCACGGCTGAGCTGCTCCGGGGGCCCCTGGCCTTGGCCAGCCTCCCCAGTGTGATGAAGCCGGCAGAGGGCGCGCTGCCCACCTCCCCGAGGGGCCGCTCAGCCACCTTTCGGCAGTCCACATAGAGCCCGACCTTGGAGCGGCCCACAGCCACGTGCACCTGCGAGACAGCACGGGAGGTTCCCCACAGCCCAGGCAGGGCCAGTGCCCACCTGAGCCCCCAAGGCCAGGCCACAGCTGGGGAGTAACACCCATCACCGGGGCCTGGGGTCAGGAGCCTGATCTCCCCTTAGGTTTCGGGGGACCCTGGGAGAGCTCCCCCTTGCTGTGCCTCCGCTTCCCCTCTGTAAAATGGACCAAATGGCACCTGCTGCAGGAGCCTCCGGGGTCTGTGGGTCCCAAAGAGACGGGCTGGGAAGCTCTTCGACTCCAGTTAAGATGGAAGAGCTGGGTAGAGGGACAGAGGCCTAGGTCAACCTTCCCTCCCAAGGAAGGTCCTGCTCTTCTAGAGAGAGGAGTAGGGATCCAGCAGGGCCCTCTGGGGCTGGGCTGCCCCAGAGCTGGGGGAACGGGGGAGAGTGGTGTGAACTGCAGCCTTCCAGGACCTTGTGGAAGCTCCCGAAGAAAATCTTCCTCACTTCCTGCGGGTCGAAGGTGGCCTCCTGCAAGGCAGCCCTGGGGTCGCGGTGGAAGTAGGTCAGGGACTTCCTCCCGGCTGCCAGGGAAGGGGTGGAGCAGGTGAGAACGGGCTGCAGCCAGCTGGGCCTACACCCTGAGCAGCACGGCCCTCACGACAGGCCAGGAGCAGCCCTGAGGGTGCCAAACTGAAGGTGACCCTCAATGTGGCCCACGGCCCCCTGACCGGGACACCTGCCTCCCACCCAGGGTGGGCGCCCACACCCCTGCTGCCTGGGGGCGCTGAGGGCCTGGCCTGGAGGCTGGACTTCCTCCGACGGCCTCCCAGGGCTCTGGGGCCTCCCTGCCCCCACTCCTCCTGACTGCTGGGGGCGATGCGGGGCCCACATCACCGTCCAGCAGAACCCCGAGGACGGGCCGGAAGTCCTCGGCCGTCATCTGCCACAGCGCAAAGGCCTCACGGGGCGTCTCGGGAAGCACGCGCACAAGGAAGACGATGGTGTGCTCTGGAGGGAGCGGGGCTGGGTGGACGTCACTGTGGGGTTGGGGGAGGGGGAGGCACATGAGCAGACCCGAGGGCGGCCAAGCCTGGCAGGATGATCCGCTCACCCAGCCCCAGCACCAGCCCCAGTCCCTGAAGCTGCTCTGAGGGTCGTGGTGGACCCCTGCACCCGCACGCCCTTCCCAGCTGTAGACTCAGCGTGGAGGCCGTTGGCTCCCTGAGAGCCCAGATTGGTGGGTCCACAGAGCTGAGGGTCTATGAGGCCACATGGGGCTTCCCTGCCTCGGTTTCCCATGAGTAACATCGGGTACATAAAGGACAGAATCCGCTCCCATGGAATGAGAAGGATTCAACAGAAGTACTCGGAGGCACCAGGCCCAAGGTCATCTCAGGTCACATCTCAGGTCACATCTCAGGAAGAAGAGAGAAGGGCAGGGGGCGTCTACACCACCTGAGACCACCAAGTAAGAGGGCTCTGCAGCCCGCTGCCCAGAGAGGAGGGCAGGGTGTCTACATCACCCTGAAAAGAAACTGCCATGGGAGCGGAGCGCAGGGGGTGTGCGCAGCAAGACTGGGGGAGGGAGAGGATGGTGAGGGAAGCTGGGGAACAGTCATCGAGTTCAGCCACGAAGACGCCGTGGTGACCAGGGGGCCACGGCCGAGCACAGCACAGGGGCTGGTGGCTGTGGGGGGAGAAAACAGGCTGGGAAAGACATTCCTAAGCCCCAGCAGTGCTAGATGAGTTTTTAAATAAATATATTTCTGTAATTTTAAATTCTCTGTTACAGAATGTAACTCACCTTTGTAACTTTTTTTTTTTTTTTTTTAAGAGACGGAGTCTTGTTCTGTTGCCCAGGCTGGACTACAGTGGCACAATCCTGGCTCACTGCAGCCTCCATCTCCTGAGACAGACATGCTCCCACCCCAGCCTCCTGAGTAGCTGGGAACACAGGTGCCTGCCACTGCACCCGGCTAAGTTTGTTTGTTTATTTGTAGAGGTTGGGTCCTGCTGCATTGTCCAGGCTAGTTTCAACCTCCTGGACTCAGCCTCCCCAGTAGCTGGGACTGCAGATGTGCACCAACACACCTGACCTCCACCTTTATAATCAAACATTTTAACTTAAAATATCAGCAGCATACATCACAATTCAGGGTCACAATTAACAACACCTCTGTAAATAAGGTAGGAGCGTCATGAGATACCAGGAGTCGTCCCAAATCTCATGAGAAGCTATTTGAGCGTGATCGCTTCCTCTAAATCCAGCTATTGGCAGATTCATCCCATCGCCTCAGGTGGGAGAAAGGCTCTCACAGGAGGTCAGCCTGGGGCTCCTGCACGTTTGATCATGGCAAACAGACCCATACTTGGGTGCAAAAACATGCCAAGGGACTGCCCTCACTCGGCCCATGGAGATTTTATTAATTTGTCAAATGTGAATTTCCGAAGTGTGAGTACTGGGGTGAGTCAACCCTTTGCTGCTGTGGCAGCGCTGCCACGTCCCACAGCCTCCAGGAGGTCTCCTGCCCGTGCCCCGGCTCCATCTCCTCCTAACCTTCAGTGGCCCCAGCATGGGCTTCCAGCTCCACCCCAGCCCTCGCCCTCACACCTGACCCGTCTTGTCAGCTGGGCGTCCTTGAAAAGCGTGAAGGTTGGGGTCCCACCGAAGGCAGAGGGCTCCATGGCCACGCCCCGGATGGAAGCGTAAGCCTTTTCCACCAGGCCGAAGGCCACCATCAGGTCAAACCCTGGGGGACATGGAGGGGGGAGGGGGCACCAAGGGACCATCAGAGATGGCGGGGGGGAGGGAGGGGCAGGAGCGGGGACTCAAGAGGGACCCAGTGGCTGCAGCACGGTGGGAGGGAGGGGCTGACGCAGTGGGGTGGGTGGGAAGTCAGCACGGGGGCTGGGGGCTGGGCAGGGGTCTGCTTCAGGCCCTGGGCTGGGCATCGCCCCCCGTCCCTCCCCAGGGGAATCCAACACACTGGGAGGGGCCCCCCAGGCCTCCCTGGGAAATCACTGGGCCACACGCCCAGCTTCAGAGACCCAGAGATGGACAGGGTGGAAGCCCAGCCCCCGACCATGAGCTCCAGCTCCCACCTCTCACCCCTGCCCCCCAGCAAGCCCACTGCACAGCATCCCAGCCCACCTAGGGTCCTTCTCCCTCGGAGGAAGCCTCCGCCAGTGAGCTCCCCTTTGCTGGCACACAGCGTGGCCGGCTCGCTCCATCCACCCTGCCTGGGGGCCCGCAATGACCCCATTCCCCGGCGAGCCCCACTCGCACAGAGCCGTAGGGGCCAACGCCATCCTCGAAGCCCCAGCTCCTTTCCCGCACTAACTGGTACAAAGTGAAGGGCGAAACCCCATTCACACTGCTGCTTATTGGCGCTGCCAGCAGGTCTGGGCAGGAGGCGGCAGAGCCGCAGCCCCTTCCAAGGCCTGTTTCAAGTCGGCCGTCCCTGCCTTCCCACCATCCCCGCCTGCCCCCCCGTCCTGTCTTGTCCCTGCTGCAGGCTCAGAGCAGTCACAGCCCCACGGAGGTTCACTCGTTGAAGCCCTAGGTGAGACTCAGCTCTCACCACCCGCAGGCCTCCCTGCGCCCTCGGGGCACCGTCCCCTGCCCTCGAGTCGTCCACCTCTCAGCCCCTCTCCGGGGAGGGCCTCACTCTCAGGCAACTGGAATGAGGACCCCAGGCTCCGGTCAGCTGAGACCCTGGAATGGGCCTGGAAAGGACCCAGGGCCCCCAGCGCTGCCTGGGCTCTGCCAGGTCCTGGCCCTGACCTTGCACAAGTTTCGGCTCCCTCAGTGAGAAGCAGGAATAATCACCGCCCAGCCAGCCACAGGGACGTCTGTGGAGGTGCAAACCCACCCAAACATCCTCCAACTGCACCACCCCCAGGTCCCAGGTCACGACACCCTTGGCCCCCAAGCCCAGGAAGAGCCTGAGAGACTGCAGGGCGGGCAGGCAGGGCAGGGCGGGCGGGCAGGGGAGGGCGCGCGGGCAGGGGAGGGCGCGCAGAGAGGGGAGGGCGCGCAGGCAGGGGAGGGCGCGCAGGCAGGGGAGGGCGCGCAGGACCCACCTGGGAGGGAGCTGTCCGGGCGGAGGGCTGGGCAGGCTGCTGGGAGGAGACGGGGTCAGTGTGAGTGGACGCGGCCCGGCCCCCCATGCCTGACGGACCACTGGGGAGCGGCCGCTTCGTGGATGATGCCCCAGCCTGAGCTCCATCTGCACAGGTGGGACTGTGCTGTGTCCCATCTGCCACCCGCAAGACCAGTGGTCCCCACGCCTCCCAGAAGAGCAAGGGAACAGGGATGGTCCCTGCCCCTCTGGATCTCACTGAGTGAAGTAGCTGCCCCCACTGTCCCCACAGAAGACAGGCCGGTGGGCCCAGGGTCGTACCAGGCATCCCACTGGGTGTGATACCCTTCGAGGGTACTGGTCACCCAGGTGTGCCCTGAGCTGGCAAGGCCAGGGAGATGCCTGGCGTGCGGGGATGCTGGGGGCACGCGTGTCCTGGGGGCAGGGAGATGCCTGGCGTGAGGGCAGGCTGGGGGCACGCGTGTTCTGGGGGCAGGGCGATGCCTGGCATGAGGGCAGGCGGGGGGCACGTGTGTCCTGGGGGCAGGGAGATGCCTGGTGTGCGGGCAGGCTGAGGGCATGTGTGTCCTGGGGGCAGGGAGATGCCTGGCGTGAGGGCAGGCTGGGGGCACGTGTGTCCTGGGGGCAGGGAGATACCTGGTGTGCGAGCAGGCTGAGGGCATGTGTGTTCTGGGGGCAGGGAGATGCCTGGTGTTCGGCAGGCTGGGGGCATGTGTGTTCTGGGGGCAGGGAGATGCCTGGTGTTCGGGCAGGCTGGGGGCACACGTGTCCTGGGGGCCTCGGGACATGGGCTTGCCCTATGGCAGGTGCTCAGAACCCTTCATGGGCAGAGAAGGCAGGAAGGAGCACCCCTGACAGGAGAAGCTGCTCTCCCCTCCCATGGGAAGGCCGCCTCGCCAGGGTAGCCGTCCAGGCAGTGAGGACCGCGACCCCAAGGGCGTGCAAGCCAAGACTGGAAGACCCTACAATGGGGAGGTTCCCCCAGAGGGAAGCCGGTAGGTCGAGCTGCATGCCTCTGACAGCCCCCGCCCTGTACCTGTGGTTCTCCAGGAAACCAGCGAGAGACAAAAAACCAGCAACAGCGGCTCCCACCGTGGAAGACCCCAGGCAACTGTGACCATGTCCTCGTCCCTGGAGAATCCAGGTGGGGCCAGCCTGGGACCAGGCATCTCCAGCCCCCCGGGACCCCTGCCTGCCTGTGACCCCTGAGGTCAACTGGGTCTGGGGTTGGCTGGGTCTGGGGTCGGATGAGTCTGGAGCTGGCAGGGTCTGGGGTCTAGGGCCTGGCTGGGGCTGGGAGCTAGGGCCTGCCAGAGTCTGGGTCTACCTGGGTCTGGGGTCTTGGTGCCCACTCACCTGTCTGGCCGGTGGCAGACACAGCCTCACTCCTGCCTGCTGCGTAGACAGCTGAGACCAGGACCCTGTACTTGGTGGCTGCCTGCAGGTCGGGGAGTGTCACGTGGCTCCTGGGTCCTGGCACGGAGACCTAGGGGAAGGAGGGTACCTGGTCCCCACTTCCTGGGCAACTTTGTTTGTCCACACGGCTCAGCTGCCTCCCCATGTCCCGCCACGGCAGAGCTGCCGCCCTCTGCAGACAGCATGGCCACACCCCTTCCAGGAGGCCCCATGAGGTGGGGCAGTCTCAGACTCTACCAAGACTCACGGATTTCTCCGGTCCTGAGCCAGAGGCGGCGTGTAGGTGAGCCGGTAGTGGAGCACGCGGCCACGTGGGGGTGTCCAGCTGACCTGCAGGCTGTCGGGGGTCTCCGAGGCCAGGGCCAGGTTGGAGGGGGGCTCCTGTTCACTGTGGCTGGCAGAGAGCACGGGCTGTTTGGGGCTCAGGCCCCTCCAGAAAGGAGGCACCCAGTGGCCAGAGAACCAGCCGCCCAGCCCCTACCCTGCTCTGTGTAATGCTCCCACCACACCAAGCCACACCCCTGCCACAGCCCACACCACACCCCTGGCACACCCACACTGCGCCCCTGCCACAGCCTGCACTGCGCCACCGGCCATGCCACACCGCACCCCTGCCACAGCCCACACCACGCCCCTGCCACAGCCCATACCACACCCCGGCACATCCACACTTGTGCCCTGCCACGGCCCACATAACGCCACCTGCCACGGCCCACACTGCGCCACCTGCCACGGCCCACATCGCGCTGCCACGCCACAACACGCCCCTGCCACAGCCCCACACTGCACCCCGCCACAGCTGACACTGCGTCCCTGCCACAGCCCACGCCGCGGCCCTGCCACACCCACATCATGCACCTGCCAGGGCCCCACCATACCCCCAACCTGGGCTGCTGCCTGGGCTGCTCTGTGAGACACTACATGGTTTATGCACCCACCCTGCAAGACACTACATGACGTGGTTTGTGCACTCGGCCACTGGGGGAACACCTATCCCCGTGCAGACTCCAGTGACCAGGCCAGTGGTCAGGGGCTCCGGGAGCCGGCCTGCCAGCAGTTCTGGGAGTCTAGGGTCCTGGGCCTGTGGAGGCGGTGAGTCAGGGGTCCCTTGGGCCATCCCTGCCCAACACTCAGCAGAGGGAAAGTGGAGGGACACCTACACGGGGTATAGCGGAGGGACACAGGGTCACCTGCGGGCGCCATCCCTGTAGTAGGCCAGGATGGTGACGTCATACTCCGTGTGCCTCCCTAGGCCAGGCAGGACGGCCGTGCCGAGGTTCCCTGGGACAGAGATCTAGGGAGAGGAGAGCCCCAGGGGTCCACCAGGTACAGTGGAGTCCTCAGACTGGGGGGTCCGGTGCACAGGCCATGGGCAGTGAGGCATCCCTGGAGACCAGGGTGGGTGCACACAGGGCTCTGAGCTCTGGACTTGGGCCTCAGGACTGGGAGCCCAGGGGGGCCCCTCTGAAGGACAAGTCCATCCCTGCCCACCTCGTGAGCCTTCCCCTCTCCCAGGGGGCGTCCACTTGATCTGGTAGACAAGCACCCAGATGGGCTGCGGCCACCCATGCCAGCTGGACTGTGTCCCCTGGCAGCTCCGTCATGGACAGCTGGCTTGGGCTGGGAACTTTCTCTGAAGGAAGTGGAGACACAGGGCTGGGGGTGCAGTCCCTGATCTGGGTGCCTCAGAGAAGGGGCAGCCACACCCAGGAGCACCCTATAGCCCCCATCCATCACACCCGTCAGGTGCCCATCCCCACCTGGCTCAGCACCAGCCCAGGGCAGGCACCCACAACACTTGATGTGAACTGTCTAGTGGGGTAGGATGAGAACCCTCGCCGGGCCCCCAGTCCCAACCTCTCCCCACTCACTGGTGGTGACCTGGCCAGTCAGCGTAGAGGAGCCACCCCCAGGGTAGAGGCAGGTGACGCGGACAGTGTAGGTGGTGGAGGAAGAGAGGGGCCCCAGCACGGCCGAGGGTGGCATTCCCAGGAGTCTCTGTCTGCAATAGGTGGGAGGCCGACATGGCAGGCCCAGCCGGTGCCTGGAGCCCTTGCTGAGGCGGAGACCGAGGTCCAGCACCTGCGGCCAGGACTACCCCATGACCCCCCAAAAATGGGAAAATGGGCTTGTCCTGAGAGATGGGAGGGCAACAGAACTGCAGGACGGCTGGGGTGGGGCCTCCCCAGCCTGGTCCCCCACAGCCCCTACACCCGCATCTGCCCCCACACCAGGTGCCCCCACACCAGGTCCCCCAGTGCGCCTCGTGGCGGCCGTGGTTTTATGTGTGTTATTGATGGTTGGCTCTACCCCAGGCCTGCCTTAGGGCCCTGTGGTCCCTCGAGACACTCGGGCCCCTGGCAGGCTCTGCTCTCACCTGCCCGAGTGTCCACCCTCGCTGGAACATAGGTGACCCTGACCAGGCGCACAGGCCTTGGGGCGCCCCTCCCAGATCATCCGCACTGTGTCGTGGCTCACGTCTGAGAAGCCCAGGTGTCTCGGGGGGGCCAGGACGGCTGTAGAGCACAGCAGAGCCTCAAGGCCAGCACGCAGCCTCCACAGCAGGGTGGGGTAGGGCAGGGGCTGGGACCAAGGGGGCCTGAGGTCCCCCACGCCATGGAAGACTGAGAAACAAGAAGGGGCACTTGTCCTGCAGGGCAGCCAGGGTTGGGACACTCACGGGTCCTGGCACGGATGCCCCGGGCCTCGCTGCTCTCAGGGCCTCGCAGGCTCTGCACCGAGATCTCATAGTCCCTGCCTGGTTCCAGCCATCCAGCAGCACCTCGGGCCGCCTCACCTGCACCTGCAGAAACATGACGTCCCAGGTCAGCCCCCACACGCTCTGCCCCACTCCTCTGCCTCCCGTCACCCCCCGGCCCAGCTCACCTCTCGCTCCTCCTCCTCACCCTTGGAGGAAGCAGGTGAGCATCGCACCAGGTAGTGGGTGGCCCCGGCCGAGGGCTGCCAGGTGAGGTGGATGGTTCTGGGAGTCACTGTGGCCAGGGTCAGCGCCCGGGCGGAGACAGAGGTGCTGGGGGGCCATGGGGGGCACTTTAGGAAGGGAGCCCACACAGAGATCACACCCACGCATGGGAGGACCCTCACACCAGAGTGGGTGGGCGCGGCCACTGCCCGGCAGATGCACAGGATTCGAAGTGGCACTTCCCAGGCTTCACCTTGGGCCAAGGTTTGTGGCTCCAGCTCTGGGGACACAAGGCCACCCCACAGGTTTTGTTTAAGGCCATCTGCCTTGAGGTCATGGGAGAATGTGGCCTCCAGGGTGAAAGGGGCCTTGGGAAACAGCCAGACACAAAAGGCCACATGGTGTGACTCCACCTGCAGGAAACATCTGGGACAGCACATCCAGAGACAGAAGGTGGCTGGGGCGGGGGCGGGGGGGCGGGTGTTTAGGGTACAGGGTTCTCTGGGGGGGTTGAAAATGATCTAACATGGACTGTAGCCATGGGTGACAGCTCTGAATATACCAAAGCCCCTGAAGTTGTACACTTTAAATGGTTAGATTATACGGTGTGTAAATTTCATCTCAGCAAAGCTATTACAGATGAGCTCATGGCAGTCCCTGGGGGTCCAAGAACCCAGCAAGCTAAGCCACGTGCTGGGGGCCAAGCAGTGGGGAACTCCATGAACACTGTGGACAGGGAGTATAATGGGTTGTGATTATGGTTGGGGTGATGATACCAATGGTACAGCTGGTGTTCAGAAGAGAACACCAAAGGTCAGAGGGGCCTAGTGGCTCGGCCCTCGGTCACACAGCAAGCTGGGCATGGTGCCAACTGTGGGTGGTTAAGATCCAGGCTATGCTACCCTGGGGTGCCAGGCTCTGAGGGACGGTCACAAGTGGGGCCTCCCACCCAGAACCTGGCCACTGCCTCTGCCCCACCCACCTGTGGTCACCAGGCCCGCAGGCCCTCGCCAACCCGCCCTCGTAGATGGGGAACACGGAGACCAGGTACTCCGTGCGGGAGGTCAGGTTGTGCAGCTCTGCGGAGGCGGCAGGCCCCTCCACCACCACCTGGAACAGAGTGGGCAAGGACGGAGCCAGGAAGGGGGGTGCTGGGGGACGGGGAGCTTGTCATCTGGCGTGTGAACTCAGCTGGGGCCCGCCGGGTACCCCACTTCCCACAGGCCTGGGCTCCCGGTACCTACAACAGAGTGGTGCCAGGCACGGTGTGGGCAGGCCCACCACAATCGATCAATTGATCGATCCTTCAAAGGGAGAAGGCGCTCTGAGTCTGAACCTATCCCCAGCACCCTCGGAACGTCCCTGCTCTGCCCTCCTCGGCCACCAAAACGCACTCACCCCAGGCTACCTCCCAGACACAGCTCCATGGTGAGTCCCTGGGCGGCCAGCCCCTCACCGCCCCCTTCTCAGCCTGGACCCAGTCATTTGTGGGCCTTTATTCCTGCCCTCCCTTTGGCTCATCACATCCACAACGGCTGCAGACCGGCTCGGGGAGCCCTGTATGTCAGCCCCTCACCTCCCTGGGGGTGCCACCTCTGGAGGCTCGCCAAACAATCAGATACTTGAGGGGGAGCCGGGGGGCTGGAGTCCAGGACACGTGGATGCTGGAGGAGGTCACCTGGCTCAGGACCAGGCCGGTGGGGGCGGGGAGGGTGTCCAGGGCTGGAGCCGCTGCTGCTGGAGGGGTGGGGGTGGGGGACAGGTGGTCAGCGCTCGAGCCCGTGTGTCCACGCTCCCCCTGGTGGCCACTCAAGGGGACACGAGCCGTGTGTCCAAGCTCCCCCTGGTGGCCACTCGCAGGAGGGGACACGAGCCCGTGTGTCCACGCTCCCCCTGGTGGCCACTCGCAGGAGGGGACACGAGCCCGTGTGTCCACGCTCCCCCTGGTGGCCACTCGCAGGAGGGACACGAGCCCGTGTGTCCACGCTCCCCCTGGCGGCCACTCGCAGGAGGGACAGGAGCCCGTGTGTCCAAGCTCCCCCTGGTGGCCACTCAAGGGGACACGAGCCCTTGTGTCCACGCTCCCCCTGGCGGCACTCGCAGGAGGGGACCGAGCCCCGTGTCCACGCTCCCCCTGGCGGCCACTCCGCAGGAGGGGACACGAGCCCGTGTGTCCAAGCTCCCCCTGGTGGCCACTCAAGGGGACACGAGCCCTTGTGTCCACGCTCCCCCTGGCGGCCACTCGCAGGAGGGGACACGAGCCCCTGTGTCCACGCTCCCCCTGGCGGCCACTCGCAGGAGGGGACACGAGCCCGTGTGTCCATGCTCCCCCTGGTGGCCACTCGCAGGAGGGACACGGGCCCGTGAGTCCACGCTCCCCCTGGCGGCCACTCGCAGGAGGGGACAGGAGCCCGTGTGTCCACGCTCCCCCTGGCGGCCACTCGCAGGAGGGGACACGAGCCCCGTGTGTCCATGCTCCCCCTGGTGGCCACTCGCAGGAGGGACACGGGCCCGTGAGTCCACGCTCCCCCTGGCGGCCACTCGCAGGAGGGACAGGAGCCCGTGTGTCCACGCTCCCCCTGGCGGCCACTCGCAGGAGGGGACACGAGCCCGTGTGTCCATGCTCCCCCTGGTGGCCACTCGCAGGAGGGACACGGGCCCGTGAGTCCACGCTCCCCCTGGCGGCCACTCGCAGGAGGGACAGGAGAGCCGCTCCCCAGACCCTCTGTGGACAGATGTAAGCGGAGACTGCAAACCCCCTCAGAGCCACAGGAACCGGCCTCAGGTACCACCCGGGAGCCACAGCGTCCCCCCTTCCCCTGCCCAAAGCAGCCAGGTGGGGCTGCAGCCTGTGTGGGTGACCCTGCCCCGCACCTGGGCCCCGCCGCGGGCCCCCATCCTGCAGCCTCTGGCAGATGAGGCGGCTGAGCAGGCCAGCCAGTGCGCCAAGCTGCGGGAAGTCCAGCACGTTGTGGACGGTGATGTCCCGCGGCGGGGACGCCAGGAGCCTCAGCTCAGCCTCGTCGGCGTTCTTCACACCTGCTCGAGAGGAGGGAGGTGAGGTCGGCCTGCACTGGGGTCACCCGAGGGGGCCGCCTGCAGTGGAGGTCTCCGTGGAGAGTGGGTCAGGAGCGAAGAGGCCTATAGGCTGTACTCGGCCCACCTGCCACCCACATGCCGGGCCAGGAGCTTCTGAGGGGTTGGGGGCATCAAGGAAGGGTCTCTGCTCCCAGGACTCCTGCCTCAAAATCTGGGGTTTCCTCCCCACAGGACAGAGTTGATTCACCTGTGAATCCCAGGACCTGGAGGGTGCCAGGAAGCTCCTCGCCAGGGGACAGCAGGCGGGAGTCGCCAGGCACAGGGATGGTGGCCAGAGGGGGCAGCTGGAGCTGCTCAGTGAATATTGCACCAGGGAGGTTCACGCCACAGGGGTGGGGTTGGGGGGGATTCTACGGAAGGCACCAAACAGCAGGTGACTGAAAAGGAGCAGTCGCCTCTGAGTGCCAGGTAGTGCCCAGCTCTGCGTGCAGCTCCATGTCGTGAATGTGGAAGCTGGGGCTCAGGGACCAGGTGCCCGATGTAAGCTCCCAGCTGCAACCCAAAGCCCACCTGACAGTGAGGCTCCAGCCCAGGGCCAGGGGGCTGCACAGTGCTCACCCACAGCGAAGATGTTCACGCCCAGGTCCTTGAGGACACGAGCAGCAGTGTGCACATCGTCCTGGGACTTGCCGTCCGTCACCAGAATCACCACCTTGGCCGCCTCTGGACGGAGGCCGGCCGCCGGCTGCAGGTTCTGCCCCAGCACATGGGTCAGGGCGAGGCCTTGGGAGCAGCAAGAATAAAGTGACAGGCAGCTGCCAGCATCCCCTCCTGGTGCTCGGCTGGCAGCAACCAGACAGCAGAGACGCTCCTCTCCTTCCCTTGCAGGGTGCCAGGAGGCCAGGTGGCAGCCTGAGGGAGCAGGGAGGGTCTGCCTGTGAAGGGGCCCCAAGTGGCACCCCAAGTTCCCCAGCCAGGCCCTACCTGCAAGGTGAGCACCCCGACTGGGCTGGGTGTGGCCCCAGCCAGAGCTGCCACGGAACAGAGGAGCCACATGCTGGACATGGGCCCTCGTTTTCGTCCAAGGTAAACAAGGGGGTGACTCTGCCCTTTATAAAGGTGTGAACAGGGCTCAGGTCCACACCACTGAGAGCTCAATTTACACACACGCTCCAGGGTCTGGGAGGGCGGCAGAAGGAGGTCCGCCCTCAGGATGGAGGGAGGGGCGGCCTGGGCCGTACCTGTGAACGTGTTCCCCCCTTGTAGCGGAGGCGGTGCACAGCTGCCAGCACCTGCTCCTTGGTGCCGAAGGAGTTCAGGTTCCACTCAGTCTGGGCATCGCCGCTGTACTGAGTCAGGCCTGGGGAGCAGGGGCGTGGCCACGGGCTGAGTTTCCAATGCTGAGGGCCCAGGGAGCTGGCGCAAGGCACACCTGAGAGCTGCACGTGCCTCTGCGGTGTCCTGGCCACAGCAGCCAGTCCCCAGAGAGAGTACGCTTGCAGAGCCAGGGCCTCCACACAGAGCGTCCCCAGAACACCCCAGAGGAGAAGGTGTCCCACCCCACAAGGTGGGAGCCCTGGCTGGTGCGGGGACCCCCACAGGTCACAGCCTCCGCCGGCAGTCAGAGCTGTGGGGACCACGCCCAGGTAGGGCAAGAGGCAGGCCGGGCCAGCACCCACCTACTTGGACCTTATCCGGCCCGATTTCAAAGGGTGCAATGACGCTGGCCAGGAAGTCCTTGACCTGCTGAAAGTGACTGTGGCCGATGCTCCAGGACCCGTCCACCAGGAAGACCATGTCAGCAGGCACAGGGGGTAGGCAGCGGAACTGGGGGCTGGCTGGGGTGGTGGGAGCGGGTGAGGTGTTAGGTGAAGCCCATCCCTGGTCCAAGACCCCAAACTGCTCCCGGCCTGGCCCCAGCCCCCAGATCACCTTCCCTGGGGCTCCAGCCACAAGAGTGAGGCAGGCTGGGCCAGGTATCAGGGAAAGGACTCCAAGACCCTCAGGCCTCACCAGACTAGACAGCCCCACGCCGGCACGGCTGCACAGTCCAGCCACCACTAATGTGAGGCAGCCTGGTGCTCAGGCACCTCTGTCCCCCACAGCTGCACGTGGCTATCTGCACAGGAGCCGGCCTTCGCTGCCCACCCAGATACCAGGCCCAGAAGCCCAATGGGTGCAAACCGGATGAGGAGGGGAGGGTGGGCACCGCAGACGGCTCCAGCAGAGCCACCGTGAGCACTGCCCTGGCGGTGCTGTGGAGACAAAACCCCTACCCCCAGCCTGGCGCTCCCCAGAGTCTTGCAGGGACAGTGCCTGGTGGGGCAGGGACAGTGCCTGGTGGGGCGGGCCGCAGAGCCAGCACCAGATCCCTGGGGAGATGCCTGAACGAGGCCAGCAGCCATCACGGTGGAGCCCCCCGTGGGGCGACCGAAGAGGCCCAGCTGCTCTGAAGGGAGGACAGCACCAGACCCGAGGACCTCTGGAGGGATGTGTCCAAGTCTGAGGAGGTGGACACTTCCTTCAGTTCCAAGTCTGACAGGGGAGGTAGAATCCTGCCTCTGAGGACCCCAATCTGATGGAAGAGACAAAGCCCGGCCCCACCTGCAGAGGCCTTCTGGGCAGACACAGGGCACCTCCCCTGTCTGTGCCTACCCCTTACCCGGCTTCTCCTCTGTCCTGGTGTGATTCTGCCTCTCCACACCTGCGGCTGGCTGGGCAGGGCCCTCCTCCAGGGCCCCCGGACCAGCTCTGCTCCTGATCCCACTCTTGGTGGAGCATGACCCAACCCTCTCACCACCCCCTAGACCCAGGCTGGAGGTTCCCAAAGGGGTCAGAGGTAGTGGGACATCTGCTCCAGTGGCCTGGCTTGAGTGAACCTGGGAACGTGACAGCCTTAAGTTAAAGCTAGAGAGTGTGTGGTCAGACACGAGGAAGAACTTCCTGCCTCACGGTGGGAAACCAAAGGTCACTCCCTCCCCAGAGACTTACTCTCCCTCCACTCTGACCCACCAGGAATGGCGGATCCCGGCTTGGCACAAAGGCAACTCGGGGCTCGGAAGCCTGCTCAGGGTCTGAGCTCCCCATGAGGGAGGGGGTGGGCTCCGGGGCTCCATTGCTGAGAGGTCTCTGGTTGTTCCTGTCCAAGGAGCTACTCTTCAGATCCTCAACTGCAGGGAGACACCAAGGCCATCGGGTAGGAGCGGAGGGCCTGGCCGGCTGGGGCAGCTGCACACACCCTCCCTCAATCAGGTGGGAGTGGAGGGCCTGGCCCGCTGGCGCAGCTGCACACACACTCCCTCAAGGGTGCGTCTGCAGGTGCTGAGCGCCCAGGACCCTGGCTGGCATGCGAAGACGTCAGGGGCAAGGCAGCCTCGCTGGTGAGTCAGGACTCGAACCTGGCCCTAGCCCAGCCCAGAGCTGCTTCACACACACCCACCCCTGGGGCTGGAACACAGCCTGGAGGAGGGTGGGACTCAGCTGGAGGACAGCAGAACCCTGGCCCAGAGGACGGTGGGACCCAGCCTGGAGGAGGGGGTACCCAGCTGGCAGTACCCAGGACAGTGGGACCTGGGCTGGAGGATGGTGGGACTCAGCTGGAGGACAGTGGAACCCTGGCCCAGAGGACGGTGGGACCCGGCCTGGAGGAGGGGGTACCCAGCTGGCAGTACCCCGTGGACTTACTCACAAACTCCCTCCGAGCCAGCAGGAAGCGCCCAGAGCCAGTGAGCTCGAAGATCTGCAACGTGTAGCCCTTGGAGGGGCTCAGGCCCCCCACTGTGGCCTTAGGGGTCTTGGTGGTCAGTATCACCTCCTGTTCCGAGTCCCCTGGGTGGGGGTAGGGAGGGCTTTAGAGGCCAAGGTGGCACACGTGTGTGCATCTGTCATGGTGGGAATGAAACCCTCTTGGCTCCTCCTCCCCACCCCAGCTCCTCCCCTTGAGGCCAGGGAGAAGAGAAAGGGAGAGGGTCTGATGCAAGGGACATGGCTCCTGGGTAACAGTGTGAGAGGGAATGGGTCTTGGGGCAGTAAAAGAAGATGTCACTTACTAAACCCCTAGAGGAATCCGTCACATGGTGAGGTGAGAACCCATCAACCCTCAGAGACACTGTCCCAGTATGAAGATGGGGCTGCCCAGGGCGGGATGACGACCCGAGGGCCGGGTCCAAGAAGGAAGAGTCTGGGGCCAGGGCCCTGCCCACTCCCACAGTCTCCCACCCTATGGGCCGCGCAGACTGACCAGCCGCAGTATTTTCTGCTGTGTGACCCCATGATCTAAAGTTAGGGCTGGATTCAAGTGTGAAAAGCAAACAAATGATTCCAAAGGGGACACTGTCATATTCTCAGAGGAAAGAGCAAGAACAAATGGCCTTGAAATAGCACTCAGGAGGTGGCAGTCAGACCTAAAGAGCACTTTGGGCACTGGGTGATTCTCTGGGTCTCAAATGCTAAGACGAGGGAGCAAAGGAGGAGGGAACCCGCACCTGCACACCTGGGGGGAGAAGAGGGGGAACCCACACCTGCACACCTGGGGGGAGAAGAGGAGGAGGAACTCACACCTGCACACCTGGGGGAGAAGAGGAGGGGGGAACCCGCACCTGCACACGTGGAGGGGGAAGAGGAGGGAGGAACTCACACCTGCACACCTGGAAAGAAAATTGACACCATCCTCCCTGCGCAGTGAGCAGCTCCCACAGCCCTACCCAGCGCTGCCCAGGGAGTGACCAGCCAGGGAGACCCTCTGCTCTCGGCTGAGCAAATAGGAGGCAGGGGTGTTGTCATTACCATCAATAGCTAATTGTTACTGAGTTTTCACTGTGTGCCTGGCAGTATCCTAAGCATTTCACAGGTATCAAGCCTCATAATCTTCACAGCCCCATTACACCCATCTTATAGATAGGAAAACTGAGGCACAAAGGATCAATCACACAGTTACTCCACAGGAGAAGTGGCATAGCAGCCCAGGTCTGTCATATTCCCAAGCTTCCTGCACAAACATGTGATTAACAAGCAATGACAACCATGGAAAAGTTTTATGTCATTTAATATAAATATAGAATTTTAAAAGTGGGGCATGCCCATAATCCCATGTACTTGAGAGGCTGAGGTGGGAGGATCACTTGAGCCCAGGAGTTTGAATCCAGCCTGGGCAGTATAGTGAGACCCCATCTCAAAAATCGACAAATAAGGTGCTTGAAAATGGGATAAATGTTATTGTGATGTTCTAAGGTCCTAGCATTGCCTGGGGACAGCCGAGACAACCATCATGTATATCATATACTGATAAATCAAGACTGCATGCTGTGGTCACTAGCATGGTTACTTGAAGGGTAAACAAACATAGAATCACCAAGTTGATGGTATCAGGGAAGAATCACCCCATACCTACTGAACAATCTTAACTTCACAAGACACACCAGACATTATGTACTGCCAGCTGAGGTGACGTAGGAATTACACGGCACCACTGATAAAGAATTCTTAACAAACACAATCAAACTTGCCTCTACCAAACTTCCAGGATCTAACTGCCAGTCTGTGGAGACAGGGTGGATAGAGGAAGGAGCGAGCTAAATGGCTCCCCAAAGATGCCACTGGCAAGAGAAGAAAGTGGGAAGTTCGACAGAACAATCTTGTTTCTTCTTCTACAAATAAATGTCAAGGAAAACGGAGAGGAGAAACCTGTTTTAGATTAAAAATTGCTTAAGACACAGGAACTAAACATATTGTGCAGACTCTGTTCACATCCCATTTCAGACAAATCAATTGTAAAAGACACGTGTCAAGGCCAGGCGTGGTGGCTCATGCCTGGAATCCCAGCACTTTGGGAGGCCGAGGTGGGTGGATCACCTGAGGTCAGGAGTTCGAGACCAGCTTGGCCAACATGGAGAAACCCTGTCTCTACTAAAAATACAAAAATTAGCTGGGCATGGTGTCATGAGCCTGTAATCCCAACTACTTGGGAGGCTGAGGCAGGAGAATCGCTTGAACCTGGAAGCAGGAGGCTGCAGTGAGCCAAGATCATGCCACTGCACTCCAGCCTAGGTGACAGAGCGAGACTCCATCTCAATAAATAAATAAATAAATAAATGACATGCATCAAGTTAGAAAACTCAACACAACTAAATATTCAATGATAGTACCGAAACATTTTAAATTTGGGAGCTGTTCATGGTATTGGGGTTATGTTTGAGTCTTTTCTTTTAGAGAAACATACTGAAATATTTATAGACAGTATTATATGACGTCTGAGATTTGTTTTAACATAATATAGAATGTAGAAGGGGGTTGAGGAGAGGGACATAAAACAATATTGGCCACACACTGGTAATTGCTGAAAGCTACATCATGAAAACATGAGGCTTCATTATACTATGGTCTCTTCTTTTGCATGTGTTTAAATTTTTCCATTAAAAAATCAGTTCAAACAAAGACAAGAAAGCAGAGAATAAAAATGTATAACAAGTATAATAAAGGCCAGGCGCGGTGGCTCAAGCCTGTAATCCCAGCACTTTGGGAGGCCGAGACGGGCGGATCACGAGGTCAGGAGATCGAGAGACGATCCCGGCTAACACGGTGAAACCCCGTCTCTACTAAAAAATACAAAAAAATAGCCGGGCGAGGTGGCGGGCGCCTGTAGTCCCGGCTACTCAGGAGGCTGAGGCAGGAGAATGGCGTAAACCCGGGAGGCGGAGCTTGCAGTGAGCTGAGATCCGGCCACTGCACTCCAGCCTGGGCGGCAGAGCGAGACTCCGTCTCAAAAAAAAAAAAAAAAAGTATAATAAAAAGGGAAGATTATAGATATAAACTCAAACAGATCATTAATTTCATTAAATATAAATGGAAAAAATCTTTCAATAAAAAGACAAAGACTGTCACACTGGATGAAAACCATACCCAATTATATGCTGCTTAGAAGACACATCTAAAATGAAAGGCTGGAGAACAGTTAACAGTAAGAGAAGGAGAAAAGAGATTTAATGCAAACACTACCTGGTGAAGCAATAGGACCATCACAACAAGTAAGATACAAGGAAAACAAAACAGCACTAGAGAGATAATGAAGAGCACTTCAAAATGAAAAAGGGTCAACCTACCAGGAAGATACAATCATTCTAAGTTTGTATGCACCCAACAACCGAGCCTCATGCACAAAGCAAAGAACAGTAAGACAACCACAAGAAAGATGTATCTACAATCACAATGGAGATATGAAATACTTTTTTCAGTAGCAGGATAAGTAGACCCCAAACATAGTAACTATATAAAAAATCTGAAAAATAAGGTAAATAACTTAACTGGAACATTAGAAAACTCTACCCAACAACTGCAAATTGCATATATTTTCAAAGTCACATGGAACACTGACCAAAATGGATCATATGCGGGACCATAAAGTGAGGTTTTTTGGTTTTTTTTTTTTTTTTGGAGACAGAGTCTCACTCTGTCGCCCAGACTGGAGCGCAGTGGCACCATCTCGGCTCACTGCAACCTCCACCTCCCGGGTTCAAGCGATTGTCCTTCCTCAGTCTTCCAAGCAGCTGGGATGAAAGGTGTGTGCCACCACACCCAGCTAAGTAGAGACGGGGTTTTGCCATGTTGGCCAGGCTGGTCTCAAACTCCTGTCATCAAGTGATCTGCCGACCTTGGCCTCCCAAAGAGCTGGGATTATACGCATGAGCCACCGCGCCCGGCCAGCAAGGTACTTTCCAAATGACTGAAAGCATATTGTACATGTCTGGCCACAATGCAATTAAGGAAGAAATCCAAAACAAAAAGTAAGAAAATCCCCCCATGTTTTAAAACTAAGAAACACACTTCTAAGTAGCCTATGGGTCAAATAAAAATATCATGACAAAAATTAGATATTTTTACCTGAATGACAATGAAAATTCTACATATCAAAATGCAGTTATAGCTAATACTTATAAGAAAATTCAATAGTTTTAACTTCATATCTTATAAAAGAAGGGCAGAAAATCAATGAATTTAAGCATCCATCTTAAGTTTGAACAGAAAAGTAAACACAAAGAGTAAAAGAAATAGAAACAACAAATAAAATAAAAAACAAACGAAATCAACGACAGACCAACCAAGACAAAAGTGTTTTATTAAAAGACTAATAAAGTAGATAAACTTCCAGATTGCCTTTTGAAAGCAGAGAGAAGATTCAATCAATAACAGGAATGAAAAGGGTGCTATAACTACAGAATCTATGGGATAATATGAAAAATGTTATGCCAATTAATCAGGAAATTTATATAAAATACAAATTCCTATTTAAAAAACTAACTTACCAAAACTGACCAAAAAAGTTAGGAAATCTGAGTAGTCCTATGTCTGTTGAGGAGAATGAATCAATTATGTAAAATGTTCACACACACACACACACACACACACACAACACAAGCCCAGAAGTCAGCACCAGCGAATTCTAGTAAACATTTAAGGAAAAAAATACCACCATTACACAAACTCTTCAAGAAAACTGAGTAAGAGGAATCCTTCCCCACCTCATCTTATGAGGTATAAAGCTGATACCAAAAGGACTTTATAAGAAAGGGTAGTTTTTGGCCAATATTCCCTCATGAATATAAGTATACAAATCTTAGATGGGCTGGGTGCGGTGGCTCATGCCTGTAATCTCAGCACTTTGGGAGGCCAAGGTGGGCGGATCACGAGGTCAGGAGTTTGAGACCAGCCTGGCCAACATGGTGAAACCCGTCTCTACTAAAAATACAAAAATTAGCCGGGCGTAGTGGTGGGCACCTGTAATCCCAGCCCCTTGGGAGGCTGGGACAGGAGAATCGCTTGAACCCGGGAGGCGGAGCTTGCAGTGAGCTGAGATCATACCACTGCACTCCAACCTGGGCAAGAGAGTGAGATTCCATCTCAAAAAAAAAAAAAAAAAATCTTAGATGAAATATTTGCAAATTGACTTAATAATATATAAAAGGGGATAGGCCAGGTACAGTGGTTCACCCCTATAATCCCAGCACTTGGGCTGGGCGCGGTGGCTCACGCCTGTAATCCCAGCACTTTGGGAGGCCGAGGCGGGCGGATCACAAGGTCAAGAGATCGAGACCACGGTGAAACCCCGTCTCTACTAAAAAGAAATACAAAAAATTAGCTGGGCGCGGTTGTGGGTGCCTGTAGTCCCAGCTACTCGGGAGGCTGAGGCAGGAGAATGGCGTGAACCCGGGAGGCGGAGCTTGCAGTGAGCTGAGATCGCGCCACTGCACTCCAGCCTGGGCGACAGAGCAAGACTCCGTCTCAAAAAAAAAAAAAAAAAAAAAAAAAAAAAATCCCAGCACTTTAGAAGACCAAGGTGAGAAGATGGTTTGAGGCTAGGAGATGGAGGTTGCAGTGAGCTATGACTGTGCCACTGCACTGTGCACTCCAGCCTGGGGGACAGAGTGAGACCCTGTCTCTTGAGAGAGATATATATTACATTTAATATTGAAAAAATCAACCACTGTAATTTACTACATGAATCAAATAAAGGAGAAAATGACCACCTCACTGAAGAAAGAATTTGGAAAAAATAATGCATTCTCTTGGTAAAAACTCAGCCTAAGTAGGAACAGAACAGGACTTAACCTGATAAGGCACATCTATCTGGAAAAGGCAGAACGACAGAAAACAGCTCAGTGGTTATGGGGTACTGGGCTAAGGGCTGACCTTGGGGTAAGAGAACTGTCCTCTACATCAATTGTGACAGTGGTTACAGGATTGAATTCATGTGATAAATAAAACTCACAGAGCTATTCTCAAAAGGGTGAATATTTCTGCATGTAAATTACAGCTCAATAAAGAAACACAGGATACCACTGAACACCCACCAGAGTAGCTCAAGTCACGCTGCCAAGCATTGGTTGCCAAGGGCGTCATGTAACGGAAGCGATCGTACGCTGCTGATGGGAGTATACACTGGCACGACCCCTTTGGAAAACAGTTCAACGTTTTCTACTGATGCTGAAAACACGTACATGCTGTGGTGCTTCCACTCCTGGGTTTACACCCAGAACAACATGCGCACGGACCACGATCCTCACACGGCATCTACACAACAGCCAACCTGGACACAAGCCACACGTCCATCAACAGCAGAACAAATCACACAGGGGAATACTATACAGCAAAGAAAACAGATGGCTGTTACACACCACGGGGTGAACCTCACAAAATGCCCACCAAAGACACAGACATGAGGGAGTCACCACAGTGTGATTCCACTTAGAGAATGTTCTGAAACAGGCAAACTAGTCTGTGCTGTCGGAGGCGGCCGTCTGGGCAGCAGGGGAGGGTGGACGTTGGGAAGGGCACCCGGGACGGTCTTTTTCCACCCCAGGAGGGGTTTGTGTTGGCCACCCCACTGTGCTGACTCATACAGTTAGCATTTACGCCTGTGTGCTTTTCCACCTGAGTTTTGAAAAGCTTTAAAATTAGCACCCATCGTCAGGTTAGGGCTGTTCCGTGCTCTAGGAACAGGGTTTCCCTGTAAAGGTGTCCTCAAGGCCCTGCTCCTGTAAACAAGGATTAACACGTGGGGAGCAGGTGCTTCTGGGGTTCACTGTGCGGAGTCCAGGTTGTTCTGAATGCCCCTGAGTTGCTCAGACTCGTTCTGAGGAGGGAGTCATTTATTTAAAAAATACAGACTGCGAGTGGTGGTTCATGCCTGTAATCCCAGCACTGTGGGAGGCTGAGGCAGGCAGATCACCTGAGCCCAGTTCAAGACTAGCCTGGGTAACATGGTGAAATCCCTTCTCTACAAAAAATACAAAAATCAGCCAGGAGTGGCGGCGTGCATCTGTACTCCCAGCTGCTCGGGAGGCTGAGGTGGGAGGATCTAAGCTCGGGAGATTGAGGCTCCAGGGAGCTCTGATCGCACCACTGCACTCCGGTCTGGGTAACAGAGCAAAACCCTGTCTTTAAAAAAATTAAAAATTAAAATTAAAAATTAAAAAACTGAAAAGTATGTACTGAATGCGTTCTGCAGGGGCTGCGTGCCAGGGACAGACGAGCCACATTCCCTGTTCTGTATTGTACACAACAGGGCTGGAAAGGAATGTGGGGACAGCAGACACTGAGGCCAGAAAGCTGCTCACACGAAGGGGCTGGTGGGAGGGACACCGTGGGCCTGAGTGGTGGCTGCGGCCGCCACACTGACCGTCCTCAGCATGTGCTAACGGGGAAGGGGGCCTGGGAGGGCGCAGGTCCTCACCTGCCATGGGCTGCACCTGCACCAGGTAGCCGAGGCCGCTCCCCTCCGACTCTCTCCACTTCATCTGTAGCCGGTCCTCAGGCAGCACAGTCAGCCTCAGGTGGCCACTTGCTACAGAAACAGGACATAGTGGTCAGGACTGACCCGGCCTCCCCAGCCACCTAACCAGCTGTGGGGGTTACAGGCATCCTGCCCTCAGCATTTGGGAGGGACACAGTCCTATCCCGGGGGACCCCAAAGAGACACAGCCCATCCAGGGTATCTGAGCGGGACTCAGCCCCACTTGGGGAGACGAGGCCTCACCCGGGCACTGAGGAGAACCCGGCCCTCCCCGGGGTCCGCAGTGACAGGGCCACCCCGGTAGCTTCGGTGAGAGGGAGTCCAGTCCCACCAGGGAGGTCCCGGCCTGGCTCTCCGGGGTTCCTCCCACCAGGAAGAGGCTCAGGCTCACGCCTAGGAGGGCAGCAACTGCCCCACTGGTGATCGGAGGCCCCGAGCCAACACAGCAGCTGGCAACGTGCCCAGGGCCCTGAGCTGAGTCCCCTGAGCTGGGACCCCTGAACTGAGTCCCCTGAGCTGAGTCCCCTGGGCTGGGGTCCCTGAGGTGAGTCCCCTGGGCTGAGTCCCTGGGCTGGGGCCCCTAAGCTGAGTCCCCTGAGCTGGGGCCCCTGAGCTGAGTCCCCTGAGCTGGGACCCCTGAGGTGAGTCCCCTGGGCTGAGTCTCCTGGGCTGGGGCCCCTGGGATGAGTCCTCTGGGCTGAGTCCCCTGGGCTGGGGCCCCTGGGCTGAGTCCCAGGCTGAGTCCCCTGAGCTGAGTCCCCTGGGCTGAGTCCTCTGGGCTGAGTCCCTGGGCTGGGGCCCCTAAGCTGAGTCCCCCGAGCTGGGTCCCGGGACAAGTGCCCATGCAAGCTGCAGACCCCTCGCTGCCAAGGTCACTGCCAGGTGCACATGCCCCGTCAGTGGGGAGTGTGGGTGCAGAATCCCACACTGGAAGTGCGTGCGCGTTGGCACGTGTGTGTCCCCGCACCCCCAAGACAGGGCTGCCTCCCACGGTGGGGGATGGGTGCCAGGCCATCTGAGAGGAGGAGGGGGCGGCAGGGGCCTGGCCAACCTCCTGGAGCTCTGGAGAGGGTTGGGGCCCCTGGAAGCTTCCGGGGCTCTGCAGTAGGGGCAGCTATTTTTGGAAAATGGGGACAGAGATGGGCTTCTTTGGGCTGCCCCCCGGAAAGCCGGGGCTCAGGGGGAAGGGCAGGGGCTGGGGGGCACTTGGGGCAGACACAATGACCCATTCAGAGCGGGCAGCAGCTGGGCCGGGTCTCCGGATGGAGCTGAAAGGCAGGAATGTGGGGGGGATGAGAAGGGGGCTCTGAAGGCCAGCTGTGAGCAGGGCCCCTCCCGCAGCCCCTGCTTGTGAAGAGCCTTCTGTTGCTCCACTCTGCCTGAGAATGTCAGGGAGCCCTTCCCCAGCTCCCTGCTGGGGGACAGTACTGTTGAGGCCTGAGCAGGGTGCTGGGCAGACAGCGGCTGGTGGGACCAGGACCACGCTCCCCTCCCTGGACTGTGGCCGCACTGCGGCCATCCTGGGAAGGGCTGCCCCAGCGTGTGGGCTCCCACCCGTCCTGGGCTGGACTCAGTGCCCCCGGCCCACCTGGCTGTCCTCGCGGACTCAATGGCCTCTGAAAGGCTGTTGTGAGGGGCGGCCCCATCGTGCTGAATCCTGAACTAGACAGAACTAGATTTGCCTAAACTCAAATTGTTTCTGTAGAACCACTTACTGATTTGTCTCAAATTGACAGTGAAAGCTTCTCTCAAACTGAAATCTCGGCCTCCACTGGCCTCAGGGCAGGGTTACCCTGCCTGAGCTGAGGGGACCAAGGCACCTGCTCATGCAACAGCCTGCTGCCTGTGTGCAGGGCAAACTGGGCACCTCAGCACGCGAGACAAGCCACGAAATCCGGAAGCATGTTAGACCTGGGCTCCCGCATCTCACCTGCCCTCTGCAACGGCAGCGACCCGTGGAGGCTCCCTCGCCCGGCCTGTCAGGCCCTGGTGGTGGTCCTTTAAATGCACATTAGAAGGGGGAGCTGCCGCCTCCTGCTTTTCACCCCAGCGGAATAAAACCATCACTCAGTGGGAGCCCAAAACCTCCCAGGAGCTTGCAGGTGCCGGGAGGGGCCGCGTTGGCCCAGCCCAGGAACAAGTTTATAGCGTGGCCGAGGCCCAAAGCCTTCTCCACAGACAGAGATTCACCTTCCTGGAATCAATCTAAACCCACATTTCTCAACGGGAGGAAGAAGCTGCTCAGACAGGTGAGCCCACAGCACCTCTGACATTTCCTTTTGCTGCCATGGTCGGTGCCCTACGTTACCCAAACGCCCCAACCGGTAGCGGCCAGACTGGAGGGGCCTTCTGAGGACGTGGTGCTTGTGGCGCGGTCGCCCGGGGATGTGCACGGAGGAGGTGGTGCTGCGTGGAAATGCGGGTGCCTCACTGGGAGAAGCCAGAGGGCTATGTGCCCAAAAAACCAGTGGGAGGCGCCAATGGGAAGCAGGCAGGAGGGAAGGCGGCCCCATCTTCACCCCAGCCTCCTGCTTCCTGGAGACTGCTCCAAAAGGTGTTCGTGGAGTAACTCTCAGCCAAGCATTGATGTAACAGAGAACGAAACCACACAGGCGCGTTCCCAAGGCGAGGCTGAGGGTTTGGCGGGAGCACACGCTCCCTCCCGTCCGTCCCATCCTCTTCCCTTTGTTGTGGGAGCTGCTTGGAATTCAGCAGGCATTCAACTTATAAGGAAAGCCGGGCGCAGGGGCAGAGGGCTCGTCCGCCCTGGTGGGCACTGGTGGGGCAGGTGTGGCCTGGGGGCAAGCAGGGGTCCACTGCCAGTGTCCTTACCTGGTCCTTGCTCTCTTCCCAGAGTGGTGCTCAGCCACAGCCAGAGGCAGAGGCCGAGGCCGAGGTGTGCAGGGGCTCGGGAGCTCATGGTGCTCGGGCTGTGGAGGGGAAGAGGCCATGCCATTCAGCCGTCCCTGGGTCTGTCCCCTCCCTGACCACAACACCAGAGCTTCTCCACATCCTCGAAGGCCAGGCAGGCTGTCCCCACAACAGGCTCCACTCCTCACGTGTGGGGACCAGAGGCCTGCAACCTGCTGTCTAGGGGATACCTTCCAGCTGCCTGAAACTCAAGGACCCAAGGCTGGAGCTGGGTCTGCCTCCCACTCTCTCCTTCCTCTTGGCATTTACACCACTGGGGGCTGCTCTGAGTGACAGCAGGACCCCCAGCCCCCAGTTGTCCCCAAGCCCAGTGCAGGGGTGGCTGGGACGGGCACGGGGCCTCCTGCTCCTGGGGCTCCTCAGGGCTGTGGAGGGCTGAGCCACGCGCGAGCTTTCCAGGCAATGTCTGATTGCTGAACAGTGGAGTCCCTTGGCCCCAGCCTGGCCCTGGAGGCAGAAGGGTCATCAGAGACCTGTGGAGGAGAGTGACAGCTGCCCAAGCGGGAGTGGGCAGCGGGTGGGTCTGGGGGACACCAGCCGGGGGTGCAAGGTGTGTGTGCCATGGGCACGCCGCTCTGAGGCCGAGACAGGGAGGCGGCCAGGGCCACTGGAGAGCTCAGTGGGCCACAAGGAGCGCCAGGGAAAACCAGGCTGGGCCCGCTCAAAGGGGCTGGGAATGGAGGTTGGATTTAGGGTGCTCTGAGGAGCAGCTGAGGGGCACTCAGAGGCCAGGGACCAGTGCCCAGAGGTGCCACTCGGAGATGTGGGGCGCATGTCAGCTGCCAGGCCCGAGGCTGAAGAAGAAATGCTGCGGGTTCTCCTGCACTCCATTCCCCCCCGCACTCCCCTCCCCCGCACTTCCCCTCCGCGGCTCCCGCTGCTCCCCCCGCACTCGGGCTCCCCTGCACTCCAGCTCCGTGCACTCCCACTCCCCCCGCGCTCCCCTCCCCCGCCCTCCCCCACATTCCGCTCCCCCGCACGCCGCTCCCCCTCATGCGGCTCCCCCATACTCCTGCTCCCCCGCACCCCCACTCCCCCACACTCCCCCTCTCCCCGTTCCCCCGCACTCCCCCTGCCCCGCACTCCCCCTCCCCCCGCACTCCCCCCGCACTCCCCCCCGCACCCCCACTCCCCCTCTCCCCGCTTCCCCCCGCACTCCCCCTCCCCCGCACCCCCCTCCCCCTGCACTCCCCACCCCGGCACTCCCCTCCCCCGCACTCCCCGCTTCCCCTGCACTCCCGCTCCCCTCGACTGCTCACCCCAGCCCCTCACCCTGCACCAATGCTGGCCTTCAGGAGGCAGAGTACTCCCGGTCAGGCCCCTTACCCCCCTGTGCTGAGCTGAGGGCACAAGCTGAGGGCATGACTTGAGTGAAGGCCCTGGGTCTAGGAGCACCAACCTCCCACACAGTAGGGTTCCAGGGTCCTGAGTGACCCAGGCCCTCCCACTCCCTGCAGCCAAGCAGGGACCCCCCCCACTGCACACCCCCTCCTAGTGTGTGACCCCAGTATCCCCACCAGGGAATCTGCCCCTCTGCAAGGCAAAGGCCTCACCCGGCAGGAAAGCTGCTGGCTTAAATCAGGGACTTCAGCCCCTCTGCAAGGGAAAGACCTCACTAGGTGGGAAAGCTGCCCGCCCCAGCCAAGGCCAGTCAGATAAGACCCAGGCGTTGGGGTAGGAGGCACCTGTGGGCTGGGCTCCTGATCTGATCACAGAGGCACCAGTGGCAGCCCAAGAGCTCCCCAGTCCCTGGACCCTCCCACCCCAGAAACCTGGCTTGACTCAGTGGGACCCCTGCCAGGGCCACAGGCGTCCAGCCTGAAGTACAAGCCGCTCTCTGCTCGACGTCCACTCTCCTTGTTCCCCCACAGCCCTTGATGTTGTCTGAGACCCGCAGAAGGGAGTCCTTCGGGAGAGCTCAGGCAGCCCCAGGCTCCCACTGCCCCAGCCCCTCCTGGCCACACCCCATGCCGGGCACCCCGGTCCTGTGGCTCACAGGGGCACTTGGTCTCTATCTTGACTTTTCTGAAAGTCAAAGTCATCCTCAGATCACAGGCTGAGTGGAACTCCTGGTAGCCCCTTATCCACCCAGCCTCAGGACCACAGGGAACTCACTCACCTCCTCCTCCTCCCAGGACCCCAGTCCTCTCTCCTGGGGGCGCTGGTCCACTCTGGTCCTGCTGTGGCCACAGGAAGTCTGGAGCTTATGAAAGGCCTCTCCTCCATGGAAGTCACTGCCCCAGCCCACCCCCCGACCCACCCCTCGGCCTGCCTCTCTCTCCTCCCCCCCCTTTGCCCTCCACCCTTTCTGGTCTGTTGCCCTGGGCATCTCTCCAAGAATGGGACCACAGAGATCCCAGCATGAAGGACCCCACTGCACAGCAGGGCAGGGTCCCACCAGTGAGGAGGCAGGGGCTGCACGGCCCAACACCTTTACTCCTCACTCCCCACTCCCAGAGGCTCCATCCTGCAAGGAGGGGCTCACAGGGAAAGCCACTCAGATGCCAAGGCCGCCACGTGTGGGTGCTGGATACTAGGGGCTCTGGCCACCCACTGTGGGGAGCAGGCTGCGGCAGCACCTGGACCCCCCCACCCATGTGGTAACCCTTCCCCTCCCCCAGTATGCCCTCCCAGCCCATCCTGAAGGCTCCCACCACTCAACCCACTTTGCAGACTGGTGCCAGTAACCAGAGCTTCAGCAGGTACCCAGGCCTGGAAAACAGGCCTCTGACCCCACAGGATCCCGGGCTGCTCCCAACTGGGACCCGGCCCCATCCCTTCCCCATCCCTGTTGCAGCTCCGCCCACCACAGGCCCCACCCAGGCAGCACAGAGTCCCGCAGCGCCTGCCTGCGGCTGTAAAGGGCCGTCCCCTCTGGCGGCTGCAGACCTCCCTCCCCAGCACCACACCACAGCAGCCGGCGGGCAGCCCGTGCTCTGCTGGGCCATGGGTGTGTCAACATCCCCTGGAGCTGCTGCTGGGGCCCCTGAGTCCCCTTCTCTGAGCCCAGTACCCATTCCCTGGGGCTGGGGCATCACTGCCAGCCACTCACGGCTGTCCCTGCCCCAGGACTGCCTGGGAGGTTACAGATGCACCCTGGAGGCCCCTGCCCAATGACTGGGTGATGACACAAGTGTGGGCGTCCTGGCCCCACTGCACAGCCTCGTGAGAAACTCTGTCCACAGCTCAAGGTGGATCTGGCCCAGGCATCCGCCTCCCCAATAGACCCCTTAGTGCACCAAAATGCACCAAAATGCCTGTCCCCGCCTCTGCCTTTAAGGACCCCAGCCTAATACCACGCGTTGCACGGGTGCTTCAGGGCCACTGGAGGCAGCTGTCAGCCTCGTGAGCCCAGTCCCCAAGCCCATGCCTCCTCTGCACTCAGGAGTGTGAGAGGGCCAGTCCCCTCGAGGCCTCCCGACCCTGCGCTGCCCGAAGCCTGAGGGAGGATGAGCCCGCCTCTCCCGGCCCGCCTGCTGTTCTAGTAGCTGAAGAGAAACCGCTTGGCCTGGCCCGGGCTCAGCCTCCAGAGGCAAGAGGCGCTGGAGGTGCGCGGCGGGAGGGAGGCCAGCGCTGGTACAGCAGCCACAGAGGAAGAGGCGACACCTGCTGGAGGGAAAGGCCTGGGTTGGATGCTGCAGAGGAGAGGGCCGACCTCTCCTGCATCGCCCTGGATCCCTGGGCCACACAGATTCGGATTCAGGATACACCTCTTCATGAGCACCTCCTTTTCCTTGAGACGGAGTCTCACTGTTGTTGCCTGGGCTGGAATACAATGCCGCAATCTCGGCCCACTGCAACCTCTGCCTCCCGGGTTCCAGCAATTCCCCTGCCTCAGCCTCTCGAGCAGCTGAGATTACAGACACCCACCACCACACCCAGCTAATTTTTGTGTTTTTAGTAGAGATGGGGTTTCACCACGTTGGCCAGGCTGGTCTCGAACTCCCGACCTCAGGTGATCCACCCGCCTCGGCCTCCCACAGTGCTGGGATAAAAGGCGTGAGCCGCTGCGCCCGGCCCATAGCCACCTCTTGCACAGCCCATCCATCAACCAGCTGGCTCCCAGGGAGCCAGAGGTGCCTGCAGTCCTGGCCGCGGCCAGCGGAGGGCACCCAGCCTGGCAGACGGGCACCAGGCACGGGGGGCAGGAGTGCAGCCCCGGCTCACAGGCTCCTGGGAACACATGTGTGCACCCTCATCCCACACATGCAAGCCAGCGTCAGAGTCATCACAGACAGGCACTCAGCACTCTTGCTTCACGAAACGTGAGCTCCACAAGGGCAGACCCGTCTGCCTTTTCACCCCGCCCCGTAGCACCCCTCAGACCTCTTGGCAGTGATCCAGCTCAGGCAAGGCAGGAGAGCTGCCTAGGTCATGACTGACAAAGGGACAGGACAGAAACTGAGTCAGCCACTGTCCTCTCCAGGGTACTGTGGCCTCACTGAGGCCCAACCCCACAGGAACCCCCTGCATGC